TGGCATGTACTGTGGCATTAGGTGCTGAGAGTAGCATGAAAATATGCTCCCTTTATCCATTCACACCACAGTTGTTGGCACGGTGTGCCCACACTGGCCAGCTGCTGGACCAACCGCAGGACGGGCTCCCAGAAAACAATAGATAAAGGCGGTGATTGGGGCCGTCATTGGATGGGCTTGCACTTTGCAAAGTGTCGGTTGCTTGAAGAGAATATTTGAGTTGTCAGATTATGCTGCACTATGGATGAGAAAGAAATGTAAAAAGTTGCTACTAAGCATTAACTAAAGCATCCTGGTTAGGGGCTGTATGAAACCATGGGAATGAAATGACTCCCCCACCCTGGCAGCAGCCCTCAGTGGGTATGAACATTGTGTCTCATTTTGTTTCATTCCCCTCTGGTTGTGAATGCATTTCATTTTCTGAAGTTGCTAGACAGTCTCTCCAGAATCAAAGATGCTCTTTGCCTTCTTTTCTGGGGCTGTGGGTTTGCTGGCCAGCTGTGGTAATGAGTTTTTGCCTGGCTTTGATTTTCATGCCTTGCCTCCCTGTGGGAGGAATGAGATATTTCTGATCTTACCTCTGCTCATATTCAGATCCAGCCAAGCAATCAGTGACTTCCCGGGCTTTTTTGTGGGAGACTGTGGGAAAAGTCCTGGTTGGCTGGCTATGAATTAATGAAATCCTTAGAAGGCTTCACTAAAGATAGCTCCTGTGGTTTAAAAAAATAGCATTGCCTTTTTAATTTGAGAAAGAGGTCATGGAGTTTTACTGAAATCAAGCAGAGAAAATGTAACATCTGGTTGTGCTGCCTGGAGACTGCTTCAGGGCAGCAAGAGGGGTGGGTTCCCAGTGTCCCATGCACCCAAGGTGACGGTCACCAGGTCCCTTCTAGGCTGCTTCTCTCATTGTTCTCCTCCCTGGGTTTTGAAGTCCTGGAGAGACAGAAATTCTATCCTATATCGTTTCACTTGAGAACATTTCCCATCTACTGAACTTTCTTTTACTTAAAGTCATTTTTCTTAAGGGCATAGTTTTTGAGTTGCCAAGACTATTGTAATCATTGTTTTTATCTCATTAAAAAGGGATGGGGTTGGATAACTGGGGAGAGTTTAGGTGGAAGGCAGGAAAGTTTTAAAGAGCTATTCTAAAAAGTTTTCTATATTAATAGGAATTCTGATAAGAGCAGAAAGAGAATGATAAATTGCAGAAGAGTTTTAGGCAAAGGCATAAAGGGGATTTTAAAGGGACCTAAGACTTTTTAAAAAGCAATAAAATATGAATATCATAAATGTCTGCTGTGTGTACATCTACCCTCCCACTGCCCTGTTAAGTGAATAATAAGTTATGTCATAATGTTTTTATATTTATTTGTATCCTGGATATAATCTATATTAAGACTTTATGTAATTTTTCTTTAAAAATATTAATAAGCCCTGGTTGAGTGGGTCAGTTGGCTGGAGCATCGTCCCATATACCAAAAGATTGTGAGTTAAGTTCCCAGTCAGGGCACATACCTATGTCGTGGGTTCAATCCCTGGTCGGGGTGCATATGGGAGGCAATCAATGTCTCCCATATGTTTCTGTCTCGCATCGATGTTTCTCTGTCTCTCTGACTCTCTCTCCCCTCTCTCCCCTCTGCACTCTCTCTAAAATCAATAAACATATCATCGGGTGAGGAATAAAAAATATTAGTAATATTTTTGGCCATGTATTTTCTGAAACTAAACAGCCATGATGAAGTTGTTGCTGCCCAGCCCCCACCCAGACCAGCAGGCAGCCAGTCACATGTACTTGGGGTTTCTCTTTAGTGTACCGTGTCTCCCATATTTTGTGTTCTGAAAAATTTCAAACCTACAGAAAAATTTAAAGAACAGCAAAACGAACACTTATTTTCCCTTTGCCTAGAGTCACTGGTTCTTAGCATTTTGCTACATTTACCTCAGTTGTCTTAATGTCCTTCATGATTTCTTTTTGAATCACCTCCTGGGATTCAGACAAGTTCACTCATTACTCTCAGATGGCTTATCCTTTTGGTCTGCTGTAGTCTAGAACAGTTCCTTCACCTGTGTTTTTGGTCCTTTGTAACATACACATTCTGAAGAGTCAAGGTCACTTATGTATAGATAGTTCCACAATTTGAATTTCTGATTATTTCCTCATGATTAGGGTCAAGTTAAATATTTTGCCAACATTCCTCTGAAGGCAATACTGTGATGTTGTTGTATTTAAGGTATCAATAGATTTAAAAAATATATAGATGCAGTTATAGTGATGAGGAAAATTTGTTTTTTCCACTTGAAATTGTTGTACCAGAGAGCTTTCTAATGGTTTAGCCCAGTTTAGTCTTGTGTTGTCTTTTAGAAAAATAAACACAATGCTTTTCATTAAGGCTTCCCTTGTCCTTTTCTGAGGGTCCAAAGAAAGTTTAGGGTGTCATTTGTGCTATCCTGTAGTATAATCTTTCTTTAAAGACTATTTGAAATTAACATTGCTTTCTCAAAATCCGGAGTGTAATGTCTCAAGAATGCTGAAGGCTTTTGCTATTCATACTAGCTTGTTGCGAACAGTGGTAGATGTCGCCCTCAGCGACTGGAAATGAGTTCCTATTAAAACCTCTGTTTGGCCGGGGCGGGTTTACGGTTGAGTGCTTCCTCACACCAAAACTCAGCCATTTCTTTCCTTTGTGCTAAGAAAACATTGAACTTTATTTCCAGTAAAGGCCACTTCACTCAAAACATGTCCTCAAAGTCAGTTTCCACCCTTTTAGTTCTGTGATTGAGTATTGCCTATATTATTTTATTTGAGTCCCTTACAGACAGTTTCATTAGTTTAACCTGAATTACCATCTTCTACCTAATTACATGGCTTTTCTTTAATTTATTTGTCCCTACCCCAGATTTAAGGGCCAAGACATGTAAAGTTAATATTGATTATTTTTCAAAGTAAGTTAAAACGTCAAAAAGCGACAAGTTGTTATTCTTACAGGGTACCAGGGAAACGACAGAGACAAAACCCCCATCTTTTATTCATAAGTCCAGGGAGACCGTGAGGGCAGAGGCGGGCCTGCGCGCCCGCGTTTGTTCAGCTTTCAGGACTGGGCCTCCTCCCCTGCTGGCCGTGAAATGTCATGCCGAGATGTAATAGTGGGACATTCAGCATCCAGAGAATGGACCACAGAGGTTCCACTTTGCTTTTCATTTTCTTTTCTGGCACCGAGTCCCCAGTCCCCTCTCCCCTCTGTGGCCTGACAGTGAAAGGCCAGAAAGCAGCACTCTGGATGCTGGCATGGATGCAGTGCGGCCCAGCCCCGTGGGCCGGGCTCTGGTGCTGGAATGCACACCCGACACAAAGGCTGGGCCACAGTGGGCCTCAGAGGGGGTGCACGTTGCCTTTGCTTTGCCTAGTTTGCTCTGGTCACTAGAAAGTTCTTGTTTCCATGGCTCTGCTCCTCTTGGTTTTGGTAGAAGTGCAGAGTGCCTTTGATTTCAGAAATCACCGGTCACTAAGCATTTCTGTACAGAGGAGGCACTGGGGCAGAGAGCCGGAGGCTATGGGACCCCTCCAGCTCCGACTCTGTCTTTCAATAAAGAGAAAGTCTGGTAGCATTTGACAAATGGGCAAGAAGTTTGACTTACAGCAATAATTCTTGGGAGTGATGTTGGGAATTTCTGTAGACAGTTTTGGTTGTCACATCAGGGAGGGGCAGATGCTTGAGGCATTTAGCAGGTTGGAGGCCCAGGATGTTGGTAAACATCCTACAGTGTACAAGTTGGCTCTTCCTGGCAGAGAATTATCTGGCCCATTTCATCAACAGTGCTGAGGTGAAAAACCTGGCTTAGGGGTCCCATTTTAGTTGGATTTCTCAGCTCACGTAGCTTCATAACACTTTTCAATTTCCTTTCTGCTTAACAGAAGCTGCTAGTTCTGTAAATCTGCACTCAGGATAAATTTCCATTAAACTCTACAAGACATATGATTAAACTATTGTGGTGCTCCTAGAAGATAGGCCTTGAATGCAACTACTATTTTAAATGCAAAAGACAATTTTTTTGGCCATAATTTGATCAAAGTAGCATAACCTGTGCCTCTGTTTTTGTTACTTGCTGATGGTCTGTGGATAACATTACATTTTTTCAGCATGAAACCCAACACTTCAAATCCCTAAAGCAGGCTCAAATTTATGGTTAATAAAAGCATTTATTGTACTGGATGTCATCTGTTATATCACTCTGGGGCTAGAAACTGGCAAGCAGTGGACAGGAAATATTTTCATTTCAAATCGCTTCAATCTTATGGTCTAGGGGCAAAAGTGTCTGATTTCAGGAAAGCCGAGTTGAATAGCATAGTAATGAATGCATTTTTACTTGATTAAGCAGGCATTCTCTCCCTTTCAAACAATCTTCTCTTTTTTGGCTTGGTGGGGCTAAATAAACATGTGATGTTAAATGATAGCATTTCTTATGTTGGCCATACTTTTCCTTTGATCATCTCAAAATTTTCAATGTTTTTCAGGAATCCTCAGCAGAATAGGAGATAGTGGGGAAGCAGAGAATGGTTAAACTGGTGTTGACTCTCTTTGTAATTGTTTACTCTCTGAGCAGAGGAGGTTTTCAGAGATGATGCCAACTCTTCCAAATTCCCCATTTAAAAAAAAAATGGCATTCGGTCCCTCACCTTTGGAATCACTCATTTGAGAGGAAAAAACATTTTTATTTATTTTAAAAAAGATTTTATTTATTTATTTTTAGAGAGAGGGGAAAGGAGGGAGGAAGTGGGAGAGAAACATCTATTAGTTGTCTCTCATATGCACCCTTACTGGGGTCCTGGGGACCGAACCTGCAACTCAGGCATATACCCGGAGTGGGGATTGAACTGGTGACCTTTTGCCCTGTAGGATTGTGCTCAACCAAGGGAGCCACACTGGTCCAGGGCCAGTTTGATTATTTTTAAGGCTGCAATTTTACTGTAATTTGAGTCCTGAATCTCCTATATCCATCAGGTAAACAGGGTGAGGAGAGTTCTATCCAGAGGCAACGCAGCATGATGATGATACATCCAGGACAGGGTACCTGGCTGCTCCTCGCCTTTGAATGTGTTGTCTAAATCATTGCTTCCCAGTGAGCCTCCGGAGGTAGGCAATTATTTCTTATGTGGTTCCTTTTTTCCAGATGAGCCCACGGTACAAAGAGCCAGGAAGGGATTAGGATGGGAGGCCATGTGATTTAGGCCGCTCTGCCAGAAACCAGAGCCAGAGTTCTTACCCTGCCAGTGCCCCCAGCGGCCACTGCCCTGCCTTCTGAGCCCCCTGCCTGAGGTGGACTTCTGCCATGTGCAGCAGAACAACTCATGGGAGTGGGAAGAGAGCAAGACTAGATACCAGAGAGTGCTTTGTGGATGATTAAATTAAACTAGGATCAGGTATTTACCCCAGAGGTTTCCAAACCTGGCTGAACACCAGAATCACCTGAGGTACATTCTTGGGTAGAGGTAAGTTGGGGGGAGATTCCGGGCCTCACCCCAGGCCTGCTTAAGTGGGATTTCCAGGGGAAGGCCAGGAATCTGAGTTTTTTAAAAAGCTGCCAGATTAGGGTTGCCAGGGTTTTGGGGGAATGGAGGGAGGTTTTGACTATAAAGGGGCAGTACTAGGGAATTTGGGGGGGTGGGTAATGGAACTGTTCCTTATGCTGATGGTGCTGGTGGATACACAACTGCATGTATTTATAAGTTTAGTTATAGGTTTATATATGTATATACTCATGGAAATGTGCACTGGAAAACATTCCTTTTACTTTTACTACATGTAAATTTAAAAAATGCTGCCTGAGTGAAACTGAGTTATCACTTAGGTGTCAGTTGAGGTGGCAGATGGGGCCCGGTGACAGCTGGGAAAAGTTGCCAGCTGTGAGAAAATGTCACCTGGAATTGCAGAGGCAGGTGGTCAGGTGCCAAGCTCTCAGCCCAGCACTGTCCAGTGGAACTTCCTGTGACAATGGACATGTTTTTTCCTACCCTGTCCAATTCAGTAACATTATTCACTTGTGGTAGAAATGTGGCACAATTGAAACTTGTGCTAGGAGTTGTGTGCTCCTAGCACAACTGAGGAACGGAATTTAAACTTCACTAAGTGTAAGTAGCTACATATGGGTAGAGGGCACCATGTTGGATAATATGCCCTTGGAGGTGGACATTGCCATATTGGGGCTTTGGCTCTGTGCCAGGTACACACTGAGTCCAGTGGCCCTTTATGCTTGAAAGACAATAGTAAGTCATCCCAAGTATTAGGCAAGATGGGAACATGGGCAGGACATGTGGGTTGGTAAGGACAGAGAAAAAGGAACCTTGGCATGAAGACTGATGTGGGATCTGCCCAGGCAGAGGACAGTCTCGCCTAGTGGAGGAATCCGTTTGTCTTTCCCTAGCGCAGAAGTCAGAGAGCGCTGACTTTGGCCCAGTTCCTTGCCCAACTTACCAGCCTCATTAGTCTTAAAAGATACAGCAGTTACTTCAGATGCTCTTTGAATTGTGTTCCCCTCCAGTGACAGGATCTACAAGAAGCCATTGGAAGTCCCAGGGGAGCAGTGTACAGACAGGTTAGGGGGTGTCTGTAGTCTGACTGAGGGTGAGCCGGGCTCACCTGCCTCCCTGGACAGAGTGTGATGAAGAACCTGTGTGGGCATATCCTCCTCCTTTTTAGAGAACGAGATCTTAAAAAATGTTAGTTGGGCCTAAAACTCCTACTTTATTCTTCGACCACATGGCCTCCATCTTGCCTTGTGTTCAGATACCCTTAAAATTCTGCCCCCAGCCCCCATGGATTTACATCATCTTCAACAGTGTTACTTTTCCAAGTGTATTATAAAAGAGTGAGATCCTGATAGTGTGGACTTTGATTAGTGCAAACCAGTAGTGACAAGTAATGTTCCAATTTATAAGCCTATTCTTTAATGTACTGAATGGATAATGAAAGTTTTTATAAGCTATGGGCTTATCACTAAGGAGGTTTTGTTAATATGATTTTAAAATAGGACTTAATTGAAAGCCTATGAGGGGGACTTTTAAATTAGTACAGATAATTTTATTTTTATATGAAAAAGTCACTCTTTGGCTCAGGAAGAGAAGAGCACTCTGAATCACAGCATACTTAAGCAGGGTTTCCTTGTGTTGTCTTTGCAAATTGGTAAATTCAAACTAATGCCCCAGAAATAGTTTAGTGAGTGTTAAATGCTGACTCTCCCACTCTTGACAGATACAGACAGATACATCTTCTGTGGAGTTGAAACCACTGTATTTGTTTTTGTTTTGGTTATTTTTTACTTAAATTTGTTTTCCAAACATATTTTCATGTATTGACATAGTTCACAGACATGCCACTTTTAGTGGCCACATGATATTTTCATGTTGTGGACCCTTCCCTGCCCTTTGCTTGCGTTGATGAAGCCTTTGGGCTGTTCCAAGTTACTGCTGTCCATGGAAAGCTGCCGTGAAACCTTCATGCAGACTGGTTTTCTGCAGGTCCCCCTCACCCATTGGTTCATTTCCTTGGCTTCTATTCCCCAGAGTGGGGCGAAGGTCCTGGAGCTCTTGCTGCACATTTGCCAGCTTGCCCTCCTGGTGCGATGATGGTCAGGACTGCGGAGAGCTGTGTTTTGGGAAAAGGGCAAATTTGGTCCACAAATGCTGGCTCTACCATTTGCTATTTTTTGTGAACTGAGAAAATTTCACCTGTAAAATGGGTTAATAATCATTCATCTCTCAGGATTGTCTTGAGACTGAAGTGTGATACTGTCTTCAAAGCATTTAGCTGTATGCTTGGCCACATAGTAATTACTTAGTGATTAGTGGCAATCTGTTACCAGAGAAGTAAATACTCCTTTTCCCACAGCCTAAAAAATACTGACATTTGTACAATAATTTTTTATATACTCTGTTATTTTGGTGGTACCTCATAGTTGTTTATTTTGGATTTATTAGAGAAGGACTGAATCTTCCTACCTGGTGCTTTATCTTCTGAGTAAGGTTTAGTGCTTTTAAGTCTGGTAGTATTAAAGCAAGGTGTGGATGAAATGTTGCTTTGTAGAGAGTACTAGGATGTATGTTTAAGTGAATAAATGAGAGTCTTAACATATGAATATTTATTGATTGAGTGGATCTTTTGAACTTAATTTAACAGCATATTATGGAAACAGTTGAACTTAAATAATATCATGGGAATTCTTTTTGTATTAGCAAATTAGCTAGCAAACCTTTGTTCATATATATATTTTCCAAGGTTGATTTTTGGATTGATCACTCATTTCCTATAAATAGAATACCAATTTTTAATATTTTACTGGAGTTTTTATAAATCTGGATATTGGGGAAGAAGCCATTCTGTTAGACTGTCTTCTTTTATCAGTGCCACATAGGACATGAGGGCATCCCAGGCCAGCTGAATCTGATAGTGAGCCAGGCAGGTGACCCTTCTAACTCCCAGTGTCTTTACCTGTAAAATGGGACAGTCAGACTAGAATTATTCTTAAGAGTTTAGAAGTTATTTTTATTGAGATTACTAGAACCTTTAATTCAGGGGATGTAATTTTTCTGTCCTACCCACTCCATCTCCTTACTGATTTGGTCATTTCTATGTCCACCTAGACACCTGGGTGTCTGCTTCTGATCTCTCTTGAGAACGGACACCTGTGGTCTTTTTTGTAGATTTTTTCTAATAAAAGTAAAGTGTCCTCCATGTGACTTTGAATTTTTTAAAAATTCATACACAAATTACTTTATTTTTACAAAGTGAGCTGATGGGCTGCGCTGGTCGTTGTTGATTTGCCTGTCTACTCGGACCTGCCCAGAGTGCCCATCAGCCTCCATCGTTTGAGTTTCCTGTGCATTTGTTCACCTGGTCAAAGGCCCTCTCACATCTCTCTTTTTTTTTAACATTACACTACAGTTAATGATTGATTTCAACTCATTTTGTCTTCTGGGCCAGGAGCTTTTAGGGCCCAATCCATCACTGAATCCATAAACACGGGCACTGCCTCAGATTCCCTGAGAGCTCTGAATTACATTGGGGTGTTGACAGTCCTGGAGGCCTGGGCTGCTCTGTCAGCACTGACAGAGGAGAGGATGCGGGTGTGTGCTAGGTGGTGGTGGGGGCAGGAGAAAGGCAGCCACAGATAAAAATTGGTCAGAGATAACAGATTGTCTCTTTGGTAGGTAATCTGCATGTAATTGCTGGTAGAGAATTGCTGAGCTGAGAGATTAATTTCCTTCCCCCGACCCCCACGCCCATTTGCACCAAGTCTTTTATTGGGAAAGCTAAATTGGTTAGAATAGTGTTACACACCCAGCCCCTTACCCAGGGATTACTGTCTCAGGTTTCCCTCTTGGTTCAAGAGCCTTCATGCCAAATGATTGCCACCTGTCCGGGTTAAAATGGTGTTGTCTTAGAGCACAGGTGGCAAACACAAGGCCCATGGGCCGAATCTGGCCCTCCACCTTGTTATATCCATCCCTCGCCTTGTTTCTACCTGGTGGCAGTGCCGAGTTCCTTGCCCCTAGTGAAGGAGTAGTTACATTTATACAGTCCTAAAATTACATTCAGCCCTTTGAAGGCAACCACAAGGCTGATGTGGCCCTAGTGAAAATGAGTTTGACACCTCTGCCTTAGTGGGTCCCCCATGAGGGTCCCTAGGATACAATAAGAAAATTTCTGGAGGAGTCTCATGAAAGCCACCCCTTCCTCTACAAAGGTGAGCCTTTGCCACCATCAACAGACGGAGCGAAGGATGTGCACTTAGCATACAAGGGTAGGTGGCCCTGAAAGAACTGGGCAGAGAGAGAAGATAAAAGCAGAGACGTACTTTGAGGAGATAAGGTGAAGTCTTATGCTGGTGTCCTCTGAGGGGCTGGAGAGGAGACAAGGATGCCCAATAACAGGCTGTCAGGAAGATGGTCACTTCCAAAGGGGTCTGTGACACAGGCCAGACGAGGTAGATATGGTGAGAGGCTGGGGAATAGGTCATCCATTCAGATGCCAGAAGATCCTGCAGCTTGGGGGCCCCAAGAAGGCTGACTTGATGAAGAGCCTTATCTCCAGGGGTCACGCCCTCTGGAAGCTCTGAGCTTAGACAGGAGTGATGACCG